TTTTTTTTTTTTGCAGAGAATCTTTTAAAGGTCCAGTCTACTCTAGCAGTATGAAAAATTGATAATTTTTAGGAATTTGTTTGAAGAATATTAGAAATTGATCTTTTTGACATTTTACATGTTTTTATTGACGTTTAAATAGTATGTCAGTATTTTTAAATCCTGGAAAAACCTAAATATCCAAAATTTAAAAATACTGACATACTGTTTAAACGTCAATAAAAACATATGTAAAACGCCCAAAAAAATCAATTTCTAATATTCTTCGAAAAAAAATCCTAAAAATCATCAATTTTTGATATTATAGACTGGGCCCTTAAGGAGACGCGCAGCTATTTCGGCTAGATACCTGAAAAGCAGCGATGAACAATTTTTCGTTGACGATCAGATTCGCGATGCGATCAAGAGCCCTCGGGATCGCGGCGTTCGGATCCCGCAGGATCGTCTCGGCGAAATTCGCCAGTTGATTAACATTGATCGGCGCATTCAGTTCGACAATCTCGCGCTGCATTTGCCTGAACACTCCGTACAGGCCGTTGACACCCTTGGCCTCGGATTGGGCCCGGGCCCAGAGCCACAGGGAGTCCAGGGAGTTCAGATGATCCCGTCGGTCCAAGGGAAATTGCTTGTCCACCAGGTTGCCGAATCTCTTGTACACCTCGATCAGATGCAATTTTTATTATTTATTATCGTGTGTGTTTATTATATATATATATTTATATGCGATTTTTTTCAATTATAGATTATATTTTCGATATAATTCGCGAGAGATAAAACCATATGACCTTTACGCATGAGTGAGCTCGTCATTAACTGAGCGGGAAGATGTACATGTGACGATTGTCGGGGATCATGACATAAAAGAGAGGAAAGAGGCTGTTAATGACGCGTTAGTGCATAATCTAGAACAGTTAAACTTCTAGGTGACACTGTTTTCCTCCGATTAGTGGCAGTGGATTAAATAACCATTCATATTAACCGCAGAAACGTCGTGGAATATTTCGCGAAGTTCTTTTTCCTTCCTATTTCCATCTTCTCTTTTCCTCTCCCCGTAACTTCCGGTCAATTCTAAGCTTTTAAATTTCAGAGAATTACGAAACAGCGTCATGTCGGACGACGATTACATAAAAAGCATAAACATATATTCCGTATTAGTTTATTCTTAGCATTAAAAATTTGAAATCCTTGTATAAAACAATATGTGTTGAAAATAAAAAACTCAGAGTGACAAATTAAAAAAAATAATAGAGATTTATATCTAAAAATTGTGACAGATTTTTTTTAAACACTTGCAGAAATTATTAGGCGTGCATCCCATTTCTAATAAATATTTTAGTAATACTTTTTTAACATTATTTTTTACGTAAATATAAGTAATTGATTTTTAAAGACATCAATAAAAAACGGAGCATCTTTGATTCCACCGACGCACTTTTCACGTCTTTTGTCATCTCTGTAATCAATGATAAGGAGATTAGGCTTTATGGTTTTAAAATAAAAAAATTTCACGAATAATTCTTAAAAAGTAGCGCAAAATTTTACTTGTGAGGCGAAACAAATAAAGATTGTTTCCCTAAATCTGGATCAGAGCCGACGATTTTGTTTCAATAATTAGTCCGACATTCACTTTAATGTTTCATACTCGCGAGCAACGTAAATAATCGCTATCTTTTATATAACACAGACACAAACGTAATTGCCTGTCTTGTTATCAATCAATGACCAGCGAATGTAGCGATTTAATGGTCAAATAAAAGACTAACAATAAGCAGACGGATAGAGAAAGATTAAGAGACGCTCGAACACAACAAAAATTCCGAAAGACTTTAAAATCCTGAAAGACATCCTAATTTTCAAATATCTTTTAACGTTAATTTAATATCATCAAAACGACACAGAAAAATCTAAAGAGCACTTAAAGACCATTTAAGGGATTTTGCAATATTTTAGACATTTCTTAGACACTTTATCGATATTTTATAAAAATTAAATTAGTCCTTCAACACCGTACGTGTTCAAACAAATACGTTGACATAATTGCGTTCCTCTTGGCGTTTAATTTATTTAATACGTTTTTTGTATACGATTATTAGAGGACACAACTCGTGAAAGTTTTGCCAATAAGTTCGTCGACAAAGCACCTTTTCGCGTGTCCGCGGAATGCGGGACACGGGTCCCCCCCGCTATATTGCGTTTCGAGACCACAAGAACGACACACACATGCACACATACGCACACTAATACAGGTCGCCGAACACGCGCGTTCACCGATCGGCTGATCGCACTCGACTGAGTTTCACGTTATGCGTCAATGTCTTCTATCCAGCTCTGGCCCCCACAGGTTCTCCCCATCATATATCGAACTCGTAGCGTGGTGTCCCTCCTCTCGCGTCCCACCCGGTACATTCGCACCCACGAGAGCGCGAGAGAGTGGATACGAGAGATATTTCGCGTGAAAATTATTTTCACTAGAGATTATAAGGATAATAGATATACTTATTTAAATTATGCGATATTGATAAACAATATTAACAGTCATGTGTATTAACAAACAATATTAACAATTATGTGATATTAAAATTATCTGAATTATATGATATTAATAGAGAGAGAGAGATATTTTAATTATGTGATATTAATATTTTATAAAATATCATGAATGTTGCATAAAAGATTAAAAAATCTTGTATATAAAAATATTGGAAAATTATATAGGAAGAAAATTATACATTATACAGAGAAAGTTAAAATATATTGTGCATTAGATGAATTATTATTCAATTATTTTTGTAATTAAATCCCTCGTGTATTGAAATTTTGCTAAAATCCATTGATAAATATAGGTTTGCTCATTATTTTCTCTGAAAATTAATTTGCGAAAATTGTTCATTTTTAATTGCTGATTTTTCGAAAATTATTGATTGCCTCCGCATTTTCATTCCAGAAAACTTAATTTCAGATCGGAGAATTTATTTCCGCGAACTGTATTAAGCCCATATTCTTAAAAAAATAGGAATTATATATTGTAAGAAACTGTAAGGGATGATTCAATATATAATTGAGATTGTAGCTGTAATACAGCCATGATCTTTTAGTACGAATTTAAGACGATTTGGAAATATAAGTTCTACGCTACAATTCGTATGTCAATTAATTTGCGACGACTTTATAATCGAACGATTTGCGCTGATTCGTGTTATCTGTCGTCTATCCGGACAAGAAGTATCAAAAAATGACAGACTTCCGGCGACGTGATGACCGTTCTTTTCTCTCTTTCCGCGAATAAAATCGCGAGTAAAATTGCAGCCTGTCGTGCTTCGTGTTGGTCACTTGATCCAAAGTGCGATACCACTTCTCGGCACCTAATACCCACCCGCGCTTAAATAGATACAATGGGGCTCCTGTTACGATGTGTTATCGGACCGACTCGTTCATAACAACCGGGATGCCCCAGGCTCGTCGCGATTTAACGTTCATCATTCGCGTTCACTTTTGCGCTTTGTCATCTGAAATCTAGATTCCTCCAGCCTGGAGGGAATGGATTCCGCTTATTCCCAACATGCGATTATGCATGACGTTGACTCGTGACTAATTTCTGTATTATAACATGACATGAATTCTCTCTAAACCGACACAAGTTTACGCAGACGGTACGTATGCCGAGGACAATGCCGATGACGGTTCTTCCTGTTTATCGCCCGCTCTTTGGACACTCTCCACGAGTGGGCCGTTATTTATACGCGTGCCTACGCATATGTAATTATCGCGCCACCCTTGTCACTGAATCGTGATAACAAGGGATAAATAATAAATTCAGCAATGAAAAAAAAAACGATAAAGGTAACAGCAAACGAAACTACGGAAGATAAGCGTAATAATAAAATGATACAACAAATAATATATATATATAATGAAAGCAAATAATAAAATGAAATAATAGTAATAAATATATATACGAAATAATAATAGTAATAATAATAATAAATATATAATAAATATATAAAAATAATAAATATAATTAATAATATACATAGGGAGAGTAAAGCGAAGAATATTTTGCATATATTTAGAATAATGGTTCTTTCCTGCATGTCTGTGATTATTTCAATCATAATCGATTCAGGGATAATCGATTCAATCGATTTTATTTACTTATGCGTTACGATACACATTCCTTACAGAATTGAAAGAATATTTAATCTCCTTGTAGTCCAAGGTATTCAGGTTTAGATATAACGCGATAAACGATAGTTTTCATAGAAGTATGATAACGTGTCAACAAAATTTCTTTATGGAATAAATTTTTTTCCCCACGAGAAATGATCTTGTTTGATATTGTATATATTTTATTTCTAATTCATCACACATTTTAGGATTTACATCATTAACATATATATTTTAAAATATACATAAAAAATAAAAATTAATGAAATATTAATAATTTTGAAGACTTAATCGTTTTTCGACGAATAAAATGAAGCAAATCGGCACATCAAAGATTAAATCTCTCGAAATAAGATTGGTTTAAACAAAATTTCACTTTTCTTTATATCATTGTCATTGATATTAAAAGGAAGAAATATCCCTCCACGTCTATTTCTAGATTTCCAAAATTTTTACACAACGTCAAAAATAATAAACTGTTCATGGAATAAATTTTTACTTTCTTCCAAATCGGTGACTAGATACATTTATTCGTCTTTAAAAAAAAAAAAAGAAAAATAAGACAAAGTCCCTTTCTTGAATCAACAAATTGATGCCACATTATTTTTCCCAAGATAGAAGGATTAGGAACCATTTATATTTATTTGCCAAACTGTCTAATACCAAGCGGAAAATCCGCCCACATCTCTTCAAACATTTTCACAAACTGCAGCATCGCTGCATGTACAACTTACCTGCATCTCATTGGCCAGGAGCACGAGAATGCTTCTGTTGTACACCTGCTGTTCGGATGGCACCATCAGCCTGTGTATCGACTCGAGAACGTCCGGAAGGTCCCCCAATCTCGGCGACACACAAGTCTTCGCGAAATCCACTATCGTGTATCTCTCAAACCTCTCCGAATTATCCGCGTACATCTCGAACCTTTTGTATAATCCGTGCACTTGGCCGACGTAGTGATCCAGATCTCTCAGACTGTCGTCCAGCCTCCTTTGCATCGGTAATCGTTGCAGCAACCTCGTCAAGATCGTGTCGGTCTTAGTCTCCATCCGTTCTTGATAGTCGTCGATCTTTTTGGACACCTTATCGATACGTTGGCGCAGCTCCTTTTCCATCCTCTTCACGAACAGGAAATCGCTCCCTGTCTCCTGGGTTAGAGATTCGCCATGTGGACGGATCATCTCCCAGGACTCCAATATCTCGGTTACAGTCTCGCGACCCAGCCTAATTAGATCCAAGGCATCGTTCATACTGATATCTAAGCCATAATTGGCGTTCGTCAGGGCCAGTATGATAACCAGCGTCACGTTTATCCGGAACTTGGCCATTTCGGGAAGAACACGCGACGCGAAATAATAGGGTCCAAGATGTCGGGTACAACTGTTGCTAGTGACGCTAACGCGTCGGGACTAACGGCTGTCGTTCTCGATGAGTCGACCGTTAACAGACTGAGAAAGGCAACGGACAAATGGAAGGGGATATCCCGCGGCTGCGGGATGTGAATGGATTGGGTTTGTTCGTTTTACACTGCACTCTTGCTTCGTATCTTTCTTCCTTCTCTCACCGTAGCGCAAATATATATATATATATATATATGAAAATTTCCAATTGTGGACCAAAAATGATTCTAAGAGATGACATCACCCCTCATATGTAGAGCGGGTGTTTGCTTTTCTTGATATATCTCGAAAATTATTCGAGATATCAAAAAATGTTTTATACAGAAGTTTCATGGTAAAAACACATCTATTTAAGCATATTAATAAAATTTTGAAAAAATAATTTTTTTCAAAGATTTTTGCCCTTGTTAGTCTTTGATTCTTTAGTGCCAAAACAGCTCTCATTTGCGGACACGGGTTTATTGGCTTGTTTTGATGTCCTTTATAACCACTTGAAATTTGTCAGTCTAATTCTGGGATACCCTGTATGTATTCCATTTTAAGTACAGAAATATAAGATATGTCGATAAACCGAGCGCACGGAGCAGACCTGACGATCGAATTGTCATCGGAATGCTAGGAAAATATGGAGAACATCTGGGATGAATGCTGGCTTATGACGTTTAATTCGAATTGCTTTAGACAGAGAAAATTTTGGAAAATTTTGCATTTGATTTTTTTAGCAAAATATTTGAAAATATATACATATATAACTATATATATATGTATAAATTGATTTATAAATATAGATATAAATATATAATACAAACTTTTAAAAAGCAACATGTTTAAAAAAATTGTAGATACAAGTAAATGATATACAAGAGACAAATTTTGTTAAAGCCTAGGATAAAAATCCTAAAATTTATAAGCAGTGTTTTGATGAAATTAGTCGAGATTTAAAAAAAAATGGAAATTGAATATTTCAACTATTTATGTGATGTATAAAAAAAATTGATTTTTTTCGGTAAATGAATAATTTTATTTTCATTTCGAGAAAATCCATTTTTGCTTAGAAAATATAAAACGCAACTTACTACATCAAAGACGAATAAGTTAATCAGCTGTAAAGCACAGCTTTAAAAGTCTGTCGCGCATGTCTATACGAAAATGCTTATGCAATGTATTTGTATTTCTCTTATATAAGTTTGTGTGCAATTGGCTTAAATCCTGTACTTTACGCGAGATACGAAGCGATTAGATCTGTATACGTCATCAAAAAATGTGTTTTGTCAACACAATTTAACGACAATGATATATCTAAGATACTACACATATTATAATGTAATATAAAATTATATATTACAAATACCGCGTCTGGGCTCTAATTGGCCTTTTCCTCTCACATTTATTGATCTTTATCATTTGAGCCTTTTGTTAATAATTTTTTATTTAATTGTTATATATAAAATTATACATAGAGACAATTTACAAAAGAAATTTACTTGAAATTATTTATTAAAATTAGTTATTGAATATCCGGTACAATATTATACATATATTACAATATATTATATATCATGATATGTAATATATTTTTAATATAAGTCTATGTATGTTAGATTGTATATAAAAAATATTTTATTTTTATTTTTGTCTTCAGGTGGCTTTCTATGAGATTTTGAATGGATTATGGGTTCGCAACGGACTGCAAATAAAGGGCCAAGCAATGACCTACATACAGTGTAATTTCTGCAACTCCATGGTAGATGCAGATTTGTATCTATTGCAAATTTGCGCCACGAAATTATTGCCGGATGTTTTTCTGAAAACCATCATCGAAAAGTAATGTCCTTTGTTTCGTTCGCTTTTGCATCGAATTTCAACAATACGATTATAGTCAAGTAGAATAATATATAATTATTCGATTTATATAATTTGTGATTCTTTTATAAAAGTAAAATATGCTTTAATAATTACGAGAAAGTTTTTAAATTACAATAAATTTATGTATTTATATATAAGTAAAAGTAAAAATACGAAAATAGCTTTGCATTTTGTGAATATATATCTGTACTATCATTTAATACATTAAAACAAAATCTATACAGATTTCACGTGAGGGAATGGATGAGTCTATGTTTGTATCACGCTCCGCAAAATGAGTATCTTGAAGGCGAGCACGATACGCCGATGTTAGAGAGCTGTCTCACATTCTTGGCTACACTGGTCAACGTGAGAACGAATCTCGGTGAGATTTTAATTACATTTTCTTAAGAATTTTTTTTTCTTAAATTATTGAATAAAACTTATAGCATCTTATAAAAACGTAATAAAAAAATAATTGAAGCGGTACTCTCTCATTAAGCCGTTTATATTTTTCTCGTTTCAGGTTTATCAGATCCTGAGATGTCCCGTCTTGAAATGGTGACTCTGTTGTGTATGGGTGATAAGACGCATAGCCAATTAATGGAACTGATGCCAGAACGTTGTGGAACCACACAAAATAGAGACTTTGAATCTGTTCTAGCTGATGTAAGTTTGTTGATAAATCGTGTTTCATTTATGTTGTGTCATTTTAATCTCCTTAAGCCTTAAGGTTTTCCTATTACATATCACAATTTTTCATCAATTTTATGAGTTTTAAATATTAAATTCGACATAATAGATTTTTTTAAATTTAAAATTTTAATTTTAAATGATGATTTTAATTCTCATTTGTTTGTTAATGTGTTTACAGGTAGCGCAATATAGAGCTCCTAATCTCGAAGCAAGTGGCAATATGCAGCAAGGTATGTACGGACCAAAACCTCGGGTATGGGATGAACTCTTCGATCCTTTACACGTTTTGTTACGAGCGGTGCATAGAAGAGACTTCCAGATATCCATGGATCGTTTTACGGAATAGTACGTTTATCAATCGAATACATATGTCTGTATTTAGAGAATAGTCTATTTGATAAGTATATCTTTCCATTGTAGCGTAAAGCAATCAGGCAAATTAAAAAACAGTGCTACTCCTTGGCCGCCATTCAGACATCCTGCTTCGGTGTCGTCGGATTACGACGATCCCCGGATCGTCCTACGCACCAGGGTCTTTCACGCTATGATTCTGATAATACTGTATAAGGCTGTGAACGGGCATAATATATCGGAGCACGTTATGGCATTAGCTATTTACCTCCTGGAGATGGCAGTGATTACTGCAGATTCGCCGAATAAATCTGTGAGTAACTTCGATAGAATGATTCTAGATTATTTAAAATAATTTATCTTTTTTCAGGTTTCTTAATTTATGTAATAAATAAGCAGCATGATTTATTGTTTATTTGTTTTTTAATTTACGACAACTCTCTTATACATCTATCTTAAATCTATATCCATTTCATTACTCTCTTTACACCGTGATATAATCATTTCTAGGTAAATCCTTTATGTCAATACACCGGTGGTAGCTCTCGCATGATAAAGGATATGGATTTAGGTGGATGGTATGAAAGCGACAGTTTGTCCGAAAATCTGAGGACAGTGATACCTCGAGTGATTCTAGTCCAAGAGTCGGAGCCGAACAGTTCGGACAGTGAGTATAATTATATTAAAAACATCAAATCTCAGTATAATTTTTTATATAATGTGATTTGCTCAAATAAAAACGCTAATAATGTGCAGAAACGAAAATATATTTAACACAATATAATACAATATGATAAAATGATAAGAATAAATCTGATAACGAGTTTCAGCTGATTTACGTGCTAATGTATATAATAACGATCTAAACGTTCGCTAATATATTTAATAATGATTAGGTGAGTTTGAATGGGAGATTCAAGGAGAAATGAGTGAAGTGGCAACATCCTTAATGCTGAATGATGGCATCGATGATGGCGCGGAAGAAGGCTCTCTGGAGCTTTTAGGATTTTCTGTAGACACTGTGAGAGACGACAGTGGCGTATCAAATGCGAGCGCGACATCTCTGCCGGCTCTACTACCGTCAGTTGAAAGTGCTACGTCCTTGCCAGCCTTACCATCAACAAGTGGTCAGCATTTTTTGTATAGATTATATATAATATCATATATATTTTTGATTGGAAGAAGACATTTATTTTTCAGTAATTAAATATGTTATATTGTATATTATTTAAAATATATTCTATCAAACATTATAAAATGTCGATTGTATGATTTTGTTCAAAACGTTGCTCAAAGTTTTCCCTAGAATTAATTTAAGTACACACAATATTGTTACGATATTTTATTACATTACAGTGGAATATGATTTGATTGTACCTGAAGACGGAATCGTTGCTATACCCCATAGTAACAGCGAGGATGACCTAACGATACCTCTGCAAAGAGCTCTACCACCATCTGGAGAAGAATCTATGGCTTTAGCAATCGAATCGCTCCCTTCGCCGAATAGTACGTACACATATTTATTAGAATATTATTTTGATATATTTTCCTTTTAAAGAATTTTATTTCTGATAAGTTTTATTATTTTTATTTATAATTTTTAATGCATATATAACAGCATATAATACTATAGTATTTTATTTATTTTGTATGATGTTCTTTTACTAAAAATTAGATATAGTCGGCGGCCAACCTGCATTACTACCTGCTCCTCAACGTCCGGCGGTTATGGCCGGAAATGAGATAGTCGCGGCGCAGCCGGTTAGCTACAGGACTACAGAAATCGTTCCATCTACATCAAATCCTCACAAACATTTTAAGAGAAGAGAGCCACAGGTAATATAATATGCACTTTTTTTACATGTATATATATTTTTTTTGCATGCACAATTTATGTTTGTTCTTACAAAGTACTCGTATATCTTTCAGGCTGGATTGATGCAACCACAAACTGTAAAGGTGGGAGAGAGTATAATTTCCCTGCTATTGAAGTTACATTCTCAACTGTCGGGAGTACCAGATAGCTACAATCCTGAACAGAGTGCAATATCAGACAACGAAGCCGGCAGCAGCAGCAGCAACAGTAGCAGTAGTTCTTTCGCGTCGCCATCGTCGCTGAACGACTCGCGAATTGGCGACGGGCCATTCTTTATATCACAGCTACTTAGGAAAATATCGGATTTAGATCCCATGTGTAGACAAACTATTATTGAGACTAGAAACAAATTGTGGCCCCGCATGCAGGAACAGCGCGAGAGGGAGAATCGCGAACGGGAGGAACGACGAAAAAGGGCAAAGGAGAGGCAGCAGAAACTGATGGCGGAATTCGCCAACAAGCAGAAGCAATTTATGGAGAAAGCAATGAAGACCGGTAAAATAAATTTTAATATATTATATAAATTATATAAAAAAATTAAAAAGCTTTTGTTATTCAATTACTGATATTGATCCAATGCCTATCTTCTTATTTTTGTATAGAAGAAGCAGGTGCATCTGGAATGGACTGGGATCAGGAGGAGAACGCAACTAAACTAGCTAGTAAAAAAGAATACGATTGTGTGATATGTAATCAAACTACTCCCAGCAGCGAGGACAAGCCGATGGGACTTGTCGTATTAGTTCAAGTAATGCATTTGTTCGTTTTCGTGTTAATTATTGAAATATTCTATATTATATTTTATTACATAAAGTGATATTGGTATTTTAATAGCATAAGATAATTTTATATTTTATGCGCGCGTTATAGTAAGTATGTCTTTCTTGATGCAGGCAACTAGTATCATTGGTCACGAACGACAGGAATCAGACAGGCTAGTTCTTCCCACATCCGATGAGGATCCACCTATACCGAAGGGAAATACCCGCGGGGCTCATTTTGACCGCAGAATGGACGAAATGAGTCGTTTATTCCACACGGTAAACGAATAGCACACATACATATAAAAATATACATGTATTTTTGTTACTTAGTTTTTTACATATCTTTTTCAGTTCTATTATTTGAGATTATAAATTTTTCTTTATTACATTTTCTATAACATAGTATATTTTGTAATCTTGCAGTTTTCGTGGCTAATCTCAGTGAATCTAGGCTGGGAAGGCGGTGTCCACGTACAAACGTGCGGTCATCACCTGCACTTAGATTGTTTAAAATCCTATCTGGAATCTCTTCGTAGTCAACAACGGCAACAGAGTCTAGCGGTGGAACGGGGCGAGTACCTGTGTCCGCTCTGTCGACAGTTGGCCAATTCTGTTTTGCCATTGTCGCCGCAATTAGGCGAGTGCTCAGCAGTGGTGCGATCTCGTCATGCTTCCACAAAAACCATATTCGCAGATCTGAACACTTTCCTCAAAGAGGTACAACGAAATCCGGTACGTATACGAAAGACATGAAATGTATTTTTTTTTATGGACTTTTTATCCATTATATTTCGAATAACTTATTTCGATAGAATTAGGATGTCGAGGACGCATTTGCTGAGTATATTCATTGTTTACAGATCTCTTCGAATCTGGCTGTGGCGATGGGAAAAGCGATGGAGGACATGACGAGTTGCACGTATCTAAAATATAAGCAAAAGAACTGTAAACCTAGTCACCAAAGCTTGTTCCTTTTTGTAACTTCAGTAGCTCGAACCAATTTTGAGATCGAACTCGTGCAGCGTGGCGGATCGTTGTGCGTTCCACCACCCACCACGATACCTCTGACGCCTAAACGCGATTGTATAGGTACGTTAGCATCTTTTGACACATTATTTTATCAACCGATATCTCATTTGGCCTCTTATTTAACTTTCGCATGCGCATTTATGTTTATTATATTAATCTGTAGAATAGTATGAACACTGTAATTAGAAAAATATTTGTATTTTTCTTTCAGTCGCGCTTCTTCACGTCTTGGCGATGCACGCTCGTGTACTGGTTACCTGGCCGGTGCACCACGTGTGGCAGCAATTGTCGGGTATACCGCTGATAGAAGAACCGGCGTCTTCGTTCGCTTTGACGCCACGCGAAAGAGAGGTTCCTTTGCTCCTGCGAGACCCGACCGCTATGCTCATTCAATTCATACTGTTGTTGCCGCTGCACCTGGATCAAAGTATGCGCGTTTCAATATTATATATCAAATGGCTGATTATACGAATCGTTTTCTTAGACTATATGTCGAAATAGATTGTGTGGCGCATATCCGAGATGTAATCGAACAGCGAATAAATTAATATACCCTTTCTCCATAGCATACTTCTCGGGCGTGGTAAAGGTCCTTTACAACTTGCTGTACTATCAGGTGATACTACAAATAAGTTGTAATTTCTCGCGACCTGAACGAAATACAATCCTGAAGAGGAGATATAGTTGCGCTACTACGCCTTCGGAGACTATATTGGCCGAGATTATCGAATATTTTAGCGACAGCGGGCTTTATTCCGGCACAGACGACGACAAGCCGTCTACATCGTCTTCTCCCACTTACGCCAAAGTGAAAACACACTGCATCGAACAACAAGTATGTGTTTCAAATCGAATAATACAGTTTTAATCTGTAAACATTTTTTTCCAAAACGAATATTTTCTAAGATATTACTTTGTTGCATGATATGAATTGTTTTTAAACGTAATATGATAATTAAGCGATAGTAATCTTTGGAAAAAGATAAAAATTGCTTCAAGTGAGCAAATATATTTATTATTTATATATTAATTCTCCGTCGATCGATCCACATTTAGATCCAGTCGCTATGTTTGCCATTTCTACGAGTGGCATCGTTGCTGCGTTATCACCTATACGAACAGCCGTTACCGCTAATTAGAACGCCACAGAGCGAGTTTGTGAGATTGGTCTACTATTTGGAGCTGGTCACGGAGGGCATGAGTTGGGATAGCTTCGATTCAACAGTGGCGTTGAATTGGCAGGAACAAGAGGCGAGTGTCTCGGTGCCGCTTTTCTGGTGTGATCAGTTGCTTGGATTTCTTGTCAACTGGCAGAATCACCAGCCGGCTCGCGACCTCATCATGGAGCAGCACATATCCTGGCATGTGCCGAAGCTGCTCAGTCTTCCGAGGGAATACGAAAAGATCTTCACGGTAATGTAGTTAGAAAATAATATGCTTTGTGTTTAAGGATATTACAAAGATCTGACATATATATAGGACGTTCATATTAAGATTTATATATTGTGTACTATGCTTTGTGTGTTTTTATTTATATTTAATAATATATTATTGATAAATTATTTTTTTAAAATCGTGCATACACTTTTTATTTGCATGTATTGCTTTTATTTCCATCTAACTATGTTATATTCCTTTTTTAGTACTACCACGAGCGGCAGTGCAGCCAATGTCATTCTGTCCCGCAAGAAATCAGCATCTGTTTGTTGTGCGGCACTATCGTCTGCCTCAAACAAAACTGTTGCAAACAGATGAACGTATGCGAAGCAATTCAGGTGAGCACATTTTATATATATGCAAAAAATGTAAAATATTATCTGCGAAGTAAATAACGGATTTACTTGTAAAAAATGTTATACAAATTTGATACGTTCTTATACGTTTGTAGCATTCGGTCGATTGTGGGGGTGGAACTGGCATCTATCTTGTAGTGACTTCGACTTACATTATCGTGATACGCGGCCGACGAGCGTGTTTATGGGGATCTTTATATCTCGATGACTTCGAGGAAGAAGACAGAGATTTAAAGTGAGTACGACTTATTACGAAATAAAAAGGAAAAAAGATATTAACAATAAAACAATTAAGTGTTTGCTACTTCAATATTAAAAGCATAGATAACAATTCGTTGAAGCATTAATTCTTTCTTTTTTTCATCTAACAAGTTATTAATTAGATTTAAAAAAATAAAAATAATATCTTTTTTTTAGTTAGTTTGATACTGTTATTTTATATTATATTCATTATCACAAATAATTTTATTGTTACAGACGTGGCAAGCCTCTATATCTTAGCCAGGACAGGTATCAACTACTAGAACAACAATGGTTGGCACATCGATTCGACCATACGAAGAAAACATGGGTATGGCATCGTGATGCTCTGTGACCCCTTACGATGTTATCACACATCGCTCGTCGATCTTAATCTCAGAATTGAAGAAGACTCTCTCCCCCTTTTCCTTTTCGTTTTTTTCTATCTTGTTCTCGTGATTCCCGCAATTATTCTCACGCAAAATGCCTCGCCCTTTCGCAGTAATGCCCGCGCGCTTTAGAGACTAACAGAAATAGACCGTTCTTAATAGATATTATATATTTATTATGCAATCGAATAATTATAGGCATATAAATGATGACAAATGAAAGTATTACAAAAAAACACATTCGTCTGAAGAAAAGAATAAATTTTGTTCACATAGTCATGCGCAACTTGAATAATGCATATTATGTAGAAATTTTATGTATGATGCCCTCAAATTATAAAAACTTGTACATTTTATTTAAATATATACATCGGACCGTTCCCAATTTAATCTTTCCGCGTAATTGTCTATGAAACAAGTGGTTTCCGAAAAAAAATCACATCAAAAGCTTAACGCCTCTTTTTCAAATTACACGCAAACTGTCGAAACACGCGAATAGACATAGAAATGGAATAATTTTGATCTACAACGTTGTTTCTTTAATAGCCACTAATTTTGGTGATTATTATGGAAAAGATTAAAGTGAAATGCATACCCTGTATATACATATATAAAATATGTCCTAATAATTTAAAAAAAAGTACTTATCTAATGTAGCATTTCTACTTTGTAGAACAAAACAATATTTAAGTGATAATAATCGCAAAGAGATGAAATTCGTGTGCTGCTTCGAATAATTGACTCGCTCGTTTTGGAGATGGATAATAATTTCTGATTTATATTTCTTTACTTCGAGCACTTCGCAGATACATGCAAAGCAAACGCAGATTTCTCGCGAATATTTATATTTTAGCATTAGTGTATAAAATATACACTAATTTTCCAAATATTAACATTGCTATGAACAAGATCATATTGCTAGAAGTATGGGAATGATGAAGGAAAGAAATGTCAAAGACTGACGTCTTTAGATCTGTATTTATATATGCTCGACGACAAAGATATTAGAATCTATATATAGTCAGAAATACACTATTTTATTTACGCCTCCCCCCAATATAATATTTAATCTTTATAATATAAGAAATGCAAAACTATAAGACAAAAACGGGGACGCGAGAATGCGCCAAATGCATTAAATGTCGATTGGAAATTTTTGTCACGTGACAACAAGCGCATGACACGATAACAAAATCGATACTTTCTCGTTTCGGGATGCAATATAGAACTGTGGTCCATTACGCCCAATGTCAATAATACGGGAGAAACATTAAGATTAACGTTAATTATTGTTACATAGATGTAACTATTAAGTCACAGAAACTATGCACACACAGAATTTCAATTCGGATTCTCCGATGCTATAGATATGTGCAAATAATATTTACGTTTTTAATAAGAATATTTTATTTTCATGATATAAATTAATATTAATAGTTAAATGATTATATATAGTTATCATATAGTAGTCTCTATATGTATAGTGTTATGGATTATATATAAAATTATGTATTTTAGATTTTTTCCATATTCCATAGACACAATTCTTCTTATTTTTTATCTAAAAATTTTGATTTTGTGATAAAATTTTTATTTGAATTAATATATATCGAAAATATATTTTAATCTAAATATACATGCTGTGATGCCTTTAAGGAAAGTTCTCTCAGAATTATTAGAAAATTTACTGTATAATTAATAATCTATAGCTTCGGAATTCGGGCATACCGAAGAATCCGCTTGGAATTCGGAAATTATCTGTTTGAGTGATAATCGTTTCCTTTACTATAGCATACATATGTTGAATGAGATATTGATTTACGGGATATCACTTGTTATCGTTTGCCGAGCAACTTGTATACTAGATATTTTTGAAGAAATAACGGGATAGTAGATGCGTAAAATATAAATTTGATACATATCTTATGACTTTAATTTTAATGCTGGAATTTTCGATAAATTTCAAGTTTTCATCTTTATTAAAAATAGTACCTGGTAGCAATAATTTTCATGAATTAAATCTTTGGGGGAGAAAAAAAGTGAGAGGTCATGCACAAATTAAAATTAAAAAAATGAATTTAAAAAATTAGACTACATATATAAAAAAGCATTCGAGACACTAATTTTAATAAATATAATTATATGTATATATATGATCTTTATCTTTATATACAATTTTAATTTAAATCTTTATTATAAAGAATGTAAATGAATGAAAGAAAAAAATTGAGTGTTAAAAATTGAGAATTGATGGGCAAATCTGTCATTAAAATCAAGATCGCGAGTTATGCATAGATCATTCTATATATATAAAATTTAAATTTCTCGATTTGATTCCAAACTCCCTGTATGTTTTAGACATGTTGCGAAATGAGATTGCTTTTTCTAGAATGCACGATCGTATTGTAAATATGTAATAATAATAATATATATAGCTCGCCATGTACTGCATCATTAGTCAATGTTCGCGAAACAAGATGATTTGTATATAACTACAAAATTATTTTTTAGAAGTATCTTTTTTTTTGCTTGTAATATGTAAGAGTCTATGATATAAAATCTACATGATTAAATAAAGACCTGAGAATTATTGAATATGTTAAAAGTATAAATAAGAATAATCTCTCGAGTTTTGTTATTTCTTCCATCTATTATTAAGAAATAACAATATTTATACTTTTTTCTATGTGATTATATTTAAATACAAACAGGTCATCATATACAATAACGATAGCTGTATCATTTATTATTTTCCACTATATATTTTCTCGTATTTTTAATTTTATATATAATTTTTGTATCATATACTTTTTATAAATTTGACATTCTTATTGCAAAAACTACTCACATCATAGTTAAAAAGAAATTTCGCAAAAACACCGGGAACAAATTTCCGAGAATATCCAAAAATTACTCGCATTACATATGTCATGACTTATAACTAAAAATGTTCTAAATCTTCTAAAAGAACAAGGTATATTATGTCAATTCTAAGTGTTTCTAAGAGTTCAAAACTTGCGCTTCACAATTATTTTTATTAATATTGCAGTTATTTGAGAAAGAAAGAGATTTACAATTACAATTACTTTTATTATATCTTAAATGTAACAATTTTGTTTTATTATATTCACATCTTTTCTTTCTGTATCCACCACAAAACATTAAAAAAAAAAAAAAAAGAGGGAAGAACAAAAAACTAAAATTTACAAGGAAAAATATAAATGGACAAGGAGTTTACAAATGTGAAACGCATTTATAGTGGCGGATAATTCAGTTATTCTATTTCTGAGAGTTGCCCTGATGACACACCAAGAAGACAAACACAGTGTGCAATGTTAAGGTATAACTGTCCGCATGCCTGTTTTACAAAATGATCCAGGGATTTGCTGGACAGCCTCCCCAGCGATGAGTCTTGATACAGGAATGTAAGACAGCACATTTTACAATATCGAAGGTGAATTCAAAAAAGAAAATTACTTATTATTTAACCATTTGTGTTTGTGTATATAATATGTATATGCATACTTATAAACTTGTCCATTTTTTTTTGTTATGAGTCACTTTCACTTTAAGAAATATTAGAACAAAATAATAAGCCTCCTGTTGTCAACTAATTCTTTTAATGGCCACCTGTTTGTTCTTGATATACTTCAATGACATCATCATTCTCCATTTCAAGCTGAAATCAATGCAGGTTTTACTTTAATATATTATTCATAACACACACAAACATTAATAAAAATATAATATTTGAATAAATACATTTATTCTTATATATTTAGGTACATAGAGGATATCCCCAAATTTGCATATTTTCCACATAATTAATATTTTTTCTCTGATTATAAGTTTAAATTTAAACTTATTTTTTTTTAAATATAAGATATTTAAAAAAATATCTAAATATAAAATGTTCTTAAATTATAATTAATTAGAAATTGAGAAATTTTAACAAAGCTTCCGAATTGCCATATTGTTTTATCATTAATCCTATACCAAAGTTAAAAAATTAATTTACCTGCTTTGGTGTTTCATCATCATTGATTCTTTTACCATCAAAAAGAAACCTAAGCGATGTCATAGGTACCCCCTGAACAAAATTAAACTCTTTATTATATGTGAATATTATCACGTTTAAATAAATAAAATTAGCAAATTTTATAATCCAATGTGTAAAATCTCAGAAATTGTTACAAATTATTTGCATAAAAATAACATTGTATTTATTATAAGAAAACTATAAAAAAATTGACCATTATCACATAAAAAAGTTCTTGAGATCAGAAAGATCTTGATACATATTTCTGAGCATGTTAGTAAATTAAAAACAAATATCTAAGTACACATTTATTATCGAATTAATTCACGTTCCTATGTTACTTTTAGAAGATTCTGCACAATCGCGCGCGTTTTAGCATAAAGCGAGGGAAAAAAGATAAAACCTACCACACGATCACTATAGGACTTCTTCAGTTTGCCCATTTGAGTGGTCATCTTTACCCTAAAGTGAATTTCATTGCTGTCCTGGAAGAGAAGAGAAAGAAATAGAAAAAGGATATCTCGTGTATCTCACGCGCGAAAATATAGGGCATCCGCTTACATTGCCGACGACTTTGAGCTTGATGTATTCCGAATTCGCGTCGCCTGGACCGGCTTCTGGCTTTTGTTCCTAGTGGTACACGGCAAGGTTAGAGCGCTAGTTTAAACACTCGGCAAATATCGATGTAAAAAGTTAACGCATTAATCTAACGCTAACTGTGCGTTCGCGGCCGCAATTGTGGGTGACGATGTCGAGAGAATCGCCGATCGTGCGGCTCTCTCGGATTGCTTACCTGATTGTCGGACATCGTTATCAATTAAATTACAACAAACTTCTTCACCACGCGCCAGAAACGCTAACCAAACACAAGCTCGCAATATGGCGCCCGAGCTTTTGTCAGTTTCACAACCTACTCTCAGCCCACTCCTGCTTCTCGTGCCGGGAACGAAAGATCGTAACGGTCAAGCGTCGTTCGCAAACATATCCGTTTTTCATGATACAGGAAGTAAGGTTGGAATATAGGTCAGGTTAGATTAGGAGACTCATAAAGTCCGTATCAGAGAAAATGAAAGAGAGAGAGAAAGAGAGATGATGCATGATTGAAAATTGAAGAAATTATAGATTGGCCAATTAAAACAAAGAAAGATAAATTTCTTCCTTCTGATTGGTCAAATTTCAATATTAAATTTTCAATTTTCATATGGATGGATAATAATGCATAGGGAGCTTTCCAGCAAGAAATACACAATATCATATGATTAGCTGTAAAATAGAAAAATTTTAGGATCTTTAAAAATTCTCTATTTAACAGCCAATTGTGTGACATATGTCTATCTGTGTTTTCTTTTTTCTTGCTGGAAAGCTCCCAATCTGTATATATAATAAGGACTTTAGAAAATTTACGAACATCTTTTTAGAGAATCGTATTGTTGCGTTTTTTCTCATCTATGTGTAATGTATTCTATGATATTATTTGCAGGTTAGATTTCTGTTTTGAAGAAATTACAGATACAGGTGTTCTAGCGAAGAAATAAGAGAGATGTTAAAAGTTACATATATTAGACTTTACAGCTATAAAACACACAAATCGTAAAGAATTGATATATTACGTATGAAAAATTTTGTTTTAAAATTTTTGTTTGTTGTTTTCGTTATTGAATATTATATTTTTAAGTGAAAGATTATCAAATAGAAAACTTTTCTTCTGTAGTGTTTTAATGAAACAAAATAAGACACAAAATTACTTTTTTCGTAAAACGTTTAAGTATCGGAAATTATGTCTTTGAGTGACAAAACAAACATTATAATTGAAGATCATAAAGAGAGGAACAATAAAAAAAATTTACGCAAACAGAAACGTGCTCATCACAGACTGCTTAGAGATATGAATATCAAATGCTCCGATCGACCTACACAGGTAAATATCAGTACGTTGTTGCAATGGAAAGGTTATATTTTATATTCAAATTAATATTTTTTATTTTTTATAGCACTTGATGATATGTAACGGTGGCTTAGTTACCGGTATTAAAAGGGAAACATTGCAATGCGTATTAGATGCATTGATCTCCAAGTATGCTTTAATAATGCCAACAGGCAAGTCGTACTGTTTTATAACATGCAATTCAAAGGAGGATGCAATATGTGTGTATAATTATGTTCATGGACGTATTAAGCTTCCGGGCCAAAATGGCCCATTATATGTATGCTATACTGAAACAGGTATACAATGTTATGATAATATTATGAAATAAATATTATAGAGAGTCAAAGCAGTAATAACATAATGATGCTTTCTTTTAGTTCCTAGCATAGACAATGTTATATCTAAATCTAATTTTCCACCTGGTCTTACGTTAATAGAGAATTTTATAACAAAGGAACAAGAAGAAACTTTGTTAGGAACACTCGATTGGGGCGAATGTGGTAAAATTATACTAAGAATACAATTAAAAAATATGATTAATGAAAGATAATCTGAAAGAAGCATAAAATATATATCCTGTTGCAGAATCTGTCTCGTCGCAGTTGAAACATAGACAAGTGAAACATTTCGGATATGAGTTTGAATATGGCACGAATATGGTGAATCCCGACAATCCAATCGCGCCGATTCCGCAGGACTACAAATTCCTGCAGACTTTATTTGACAAACACAGTCATAAGTATACATATGATCAGCTGACTATCAACAAATATCTACCTGGACAAGGTAGCAACTCTTGCCTTTCCATAAGTTTTATAATGCTTATTTCTTAAGAATTTTTAAACAAAATGAATAAGTGTTTTAATTTTTCCTTTGTGTAAATTCTTCCAATATTGATTTTCTAATTATATGAATAATTTTATCACATATTATATAAATTTAATCATTTGTTTTATATAATTATTAAATTTAATTGTATTGTAATCATTAAATTAAGTTTAATTGAAATAATAATGTATCCTCGTATTAACAATTACTGTCTTTCATTTCTACTAAAAATTTATTATGACGAGTAATTCTAGTAAATATGCACAAATTTATAGACTGACTTGGATAAGCTATATCATTAAAATTTCTACTTAAGGTATTCCATCGCACATCGATACACATAGCGTCTTTGAAGATACGATATTGTCCTTATCACTGGGTTCTGCATGTATCATGAACTTTAAGAAGAAAGAGCGGAATATCAATGTGCTTCTACCAGCTAGATCTTTGTTGATCATGACAGGAGAGGCAAGATACGCATGGACCCATGGCATCTGCCCTCGTCACAGTGATGTAATTGAGACGGAGAACGGAACCACAACGCAAGAACGTGGCATCAGAGTATCCTTTACTTTCAGGAAGGTACGACGAAGTGCCTGTTGTTGCAACTTCAAAGAATACTGTGATACTAGAAACGATACCGCTGCGTTCGTTGATGCCAAGACAGCGTCGGGACTGGAAGATTCGTATGTACATAAGGTGCATAAATTTCGGCTGAAATTTATGATAATATTTTTTTATTATTATAGTGAAATTGCTTTCTCAGGTTTATGAGGAAATATCTATTCACTTTAATGAGACGCGACACAAACACTGGCCTAATGTAACCAAATTCCTTGAAAGTTTGAAAGAGGGTACATTATTGTTGGATGTAGGCTGTGGGAATGGCAAATATCTTTACGGAGATCGAAATATATATAAAGTACTATTATTTAAATTATTTTTACTACTTAATCAACTAGAATACATACTTATACATAGCTAAAAGTGAAATAAAATACATACAATTAAAAATTAAAGTGTAGTTAGCGTTATCTCTTTTCGAAACAAGCCATCAAAACATTATTAACTATGAGGATCATTTCAGATGGGATGCGATCATAGTTCCGGACTGACGGATATATGTCGCAAGCGAGGCTTCGAGGTTCTCCAATGCGACTGTTTGTATCTGCCATACAAAGACAATTCCGTGGACGCGGCGATCAGTATCGCGGTGATTCATCATCTGTCCACTCGGGAACGGAGGCTACGCGCCATTTCCGAGATGGTTCGAGTATTGAGACCGACAGGAAAATGCTTGATTTATGTGTGGGCGAAGGAACAGCGCAAAAATTCCACGGATTCGTTCTATCTGAAGTACGGCAAGAAGAACAAGGACGAGAACGAAAAGATTGACCAGAGCGAGATCGGCCGCGAGAGAATTTCCGAATGTGGCTTAACGTTGCCGGTTCACGAAAATAGAACGAACTTTACTCACAGCGATATGTTGGTTCCTTGGAAAAAGAAGAGCGGCGAACGTTTCCTGAGATATTATCACGTATTTCAGGAAGATGAGCTTGCAGAACTATGCACTGAGGTATCCACAGCCATGATTAAGGAAGTCTACTACGATCAAGGTAATTGGTGCGTCATTGTGGAGAAATGTAGGTACTAAAAATTTATTATGACGAGTAATTCTAGTAAATATGCACAAATTTATAGACTGACTTGGATAAGCTATATCATTAAAATTCTATTTAAGGTATTCCATCGCACATTGATACACATAGCGTCTTTGAAGATACGATATTGTCCTTATCACTGGGTTCTGCATGTATCATGAACTTTAAGAAGAAAGATCGGAATATCAATGTGCTTCTACCAGCTAGATCTTTGTTGATCATGACAGGAGAGGCAAGATACGCATGGACCCATGGCATCTGCCCTCGTCACAGTGATGTAATTGAGACGGAGAACGGAACCACAACGCAAGAACGTGGCATCAGAGTATCCTTTACTTTCAGGAAGGTACGACGAAGTGCCTGTTGTTGCAACTTCAAAGAATACTGTGATACTAGAAACGATACCGCTGCGTTCGTTGATGCCAAGACAGCGTCGGGACTGGAAGATTCGTATGTACATAAGGTGCATAAATTTCGGCTGAAATTTATGATAATATTTTTTTATTATTATAGTGAAATTGCTTTCTCAGGTTTATGAGGAAATATCTATTCACTTTAATGAGACGCGACACAAACACTGGCCTAATGTAACCAAATTCCTTGAAAGTTTGAAAGAGGGTACATTATTGTTGGATGTAGGCTGTGGGAATGGCAAATATCTTTACGGAGATCGAAATATATATAAAGTACTATTATTTAAATTATTTTTACTACTTAATCAACTAGAATACATACTTATACATAGCTAAAAGTGAAATAAAATACATACAATTAAAAATTAAAGTGTAGTTAGCGTTATCTCTTTTCGAAACAAGCCATCAAAACATTATTAACTATGAGGATCATTTCAGATGGGATGCGATCATAGTTCCGGACTGACGGATATATGTCGCAAGCGAGGCTTCGAGGTTCTCCAATGCGACTGTTTGTATCTGCCATACAAAGACAATTCCGTGGACGCGGCGATCAGTATCGCGGTGATTCATCATCTGTCCACTCGGGAACGGAGGCTACGCGCCATTTCCGAGATGGTTCGAGTATTGAGACCGACAGGAAAATGCTTGATTTATGTGTGGGCGAAGGAACAGCGCAAAAATTCCACGGATTCGTTCTATCTGAAGTACGGCAAGAAGAACAAGGACGAGAACGAAAAGATTGACCAGAGCGAGATCGGCCGCGAGAGAATTTCCGAATGTGGCTTAACGTTGCCGGTTCACGAAAATAGAACGAACTTTACTCACAGCGATATGTTGGTTCCTTGGAAAAAGAAGAGCGGCGAACGTTTCCTGAGATATTATCACGTATTTCAGGAAGATGAGCTTGCAGAACTATGCACTGAGGTATCCACAGCCATGATTAAGGAAGTCTACTACGATCAAGGTAATTGGTGCGTCATTGTGGAGAAATGTAGGCAAATCGCGGGAAATAAAAACTAGGTTTATAACACAAATATAATTTTCTTAAAAGATTTATTTCATACATCTCTTCCTTATGTCGCTGCATGGATTTAGTCGCTATCTTCATCCACTGAAATAAGTAAAAAAGTATGTTTCACAAACATTTGAATATCTATATAGTTTAGTTTTACTACTACCGCATCAATACTAAATGACATTTATCGGCTAATCAAAAATAATTTACAATATATAATCACTTTTTTTTGTTATAAAATGTTCCAAATTTTTATACAATATAATCTCGTTTTTTTTTGTTTTTTTTTTTTGATAGTGTGTTTAAAATGGTTTTTTTTATTAACTCTTCAGTCTAGAATCAATCAAGAGAAAGAAAAATGAAACAAACTGGGATATTAATGATAACCACATACGATATTATATGCCATATCATTAATAGTTATAATTTAATTTATATATATTTAAGCTAAAAAAAAGATGGAAAGATCGTTTTTTGCATTCAACATTAGTTTTTTGGCATTCGTATCAACTTCTCTTTCTCTTTTTGTTCATCACTCTTACTACTGATCCATATAATAGCTTCATTTTTCTTTTAGAAAGAAATATTGATATATATATCGTAATACCTAAGTCTATCACTATGTGTTTTTTTTCCGGGATCGGCGATTGGAGGCACTGATTGTCCGAATCTGAATCATACATACTGCTAAAACTTCCTTCTTTCTTATTTGAATCCTGCAAGAATATTAAGAAAATTATCACGATTAATCATGACAATAAATTGGCAATTAAGCAAGCAAGAAAATAATGGAGAGAGAAGCTACTCAAATACTTAGTACGCTTTTCTTCATACTTACATCAAAAACAGGTATTAAATCAGCAGATCCTTCTCCATGTTTTATAATATAGCTCTTCTCATTTTCTACTTCCATATGATCATCTATACATTTGTAATACATTTTTAATAATATACATTTTATACATTATGAACTAATTATTAAACAGAATTGAGAAGCTTAAAATAAAGAAAAATTAATTAATTTTATCTTTAATAATTTTAATTCGATTCCAGTTTAAAAAGCAATTATATTAATTTAAATTTTATTTTGGAATATAGATAAAATTAATTTGATTTTTTTATTTATAATTTTAATTATATATTAAAAAAATATAATTGGATAAAATATACCTTCTACTATAGTTGTCTCATCCCATTTTTGTAATTTAATACTAATGCGATCACCTATCATTGTTGTAATCTTATCTGTTTGAATGCTCTCTTTAAATCGACTTGTGCTGCTATCATCTTTTTTGTATCTGAAATATAGAGGGTATTTTAAAATGTTACAAATTACTTACACAAATTAATTCGCTTTTTTCTCTTTCCATTACTCAATTACAAAATGAAAAATCGCTTTTCTAGTTACTTTATTATCTGATGAAAGGATATAAAACATTATTTTACATAAACTCATTTACTGTAAATAGTTCAAATTAATATATTTACATTATATTTTATATATAAAAAAAATATTTTTAAAAATTATGAACTCTTAAGAGACTATATATGTTGAAACTATAGTAGTATTCATACCGTGATTGTACATCTTTAGTTACCGCCTCCTTAATCTCTTGCACTAATTTAGTCGCGTAATTTGCCGCGTGATTAGAAACGGCGGATATGACGTCCTCGACCGTCATGGTTTTTGTTAAATAATCGAAATGCAAACTGCAGAGTTCTCTATAAGAGTTCATACCAAGAGTGAGTTCAGCGACACCAACTCTTTCTTCTATATATGTTGGATCCATTATGGTGTTGCCACTGAAATTTAGAAAGACCATATATTATTTGTATGTACATAGTCTCTTAGAAAATTCTGAATTTTATTGATATATTCTTAAACAAGATTAAAATTAATTATTTTATATTCATAAAAATTTGAAGGGTAGATAATTTTGAACTGCCTGACTAACCATTCAAAAGTTATGAAAGATATGCAAACTGGATAGTGAAACAATGTTAATGGAAGAAAATCTTTCTCGGATGCTGGATGTATAATAATTTCCTCGCCAGTGGAAGTAACGTCTGGCCTGTGGAAATGCATGAGAGCGGCGAGTGTCGCTATAGAGGCACAGTCGATCAGATTTCCATCGTGATTTATGATATTAATATCAATTCTTAAATTCCACACCTGAATAGAAAGACATAAAAATAAAATATATATATGTATATATATATAAACATATGCTGTACAATATTTAATGTCAAATCTTAGTATGCAGTAACCTTCTTATCTGCTACAATACAGAGAGATTCCAAGTCTATGCATTTTGAATCTTTGAAACATTTTTCCAGCTGTCTACTGATCAATATGCCAGCCTCGGATTGTCTTCCACTTTCAAGGTGCTGCGCCGCTAATGGACCAAGCTCAACATTTATGTATATTGTGCCTTCGTTAGAACGAAATGCTTTCGGTTGTTGTATATTACATGATACTTGTGCTATTGCTCTGCAAAGGGATTCCTCTTCAATGTTTTAATTATATATATTTATTATAAAGAGAAATAATCCATATATTGTTAAAGAAAATTTACTTGGTATGTCCAAGAGACACTATACAACATCCCCATTTGGAGCCAAAATGAATTTTC